TGGATGCAGTACTCTAGGCTTTTTAGCAAGTCTGGAAAGCCTTCACTTCTTGGATAAGACGTATTCCAAAGTCTGGATACTGAATCTTCTATGAAATGTTGATATGATGCTATTTATATAGACCATTGATCACACATAGTTTAAAAATGTTTTCTTTGTCAGTAAGAAATTGGGGGGTGTTGTTCTTAGACTTCAGTCTGGTTTATTGACAGAACCCCTTTTGTGTGTTTTGATGTTGTTTGTTTGTTTGTTTGTTTGTTTTTTCTAGGCTGATTGAATCCAGTCTGGGAAGTGTTGCCACAAAGTTTAATTTCTTCATTCACAATCTGGCTCAGCTGCGTTTCTCAGGTTTACCTTCTAATGATGAACCCATCCTCTCATTTTCTGCTAAAACCTATTCTCTTAAACAAGACGGCAGAATCAAACAAGTGTCTGTGTTTACATATCAGAAGAGATACAACCCAGATAAACATTATGTAAGTATGTGGAGTCTGTTTCCACTCAGTGAAGATACTGTTGTATTTTCTTCCAAAACACAGCAGAGGCAGTTGACCAAAACCGTCCAAGAGATATTCCACAGCATTTATTGTCACACTCAGCGATTAAAAACTGGGGGTAGAGCAAGAAAGCAGGGGACAGGAGGGTGTTGTCATCCAAGGCGGCTGTTTGGGAACTGGCTAAGCATGGGTCTGCTTGTGGGAGGTGGTGAGACATTTTCTTTGCGTCACCTTCCCTCCCAAGGACTGTCTTTATCTCAGCCCACGGGTCTTCTTGCTTTTGGTCTTCTTCTCTCTTCTGTCCCACTGGTGAGGGAGTGAGACTGAGCAAGCAGCTGTGTGGGTGCTCAGCTGCTGGCTAGGGTAAACCAGCCACAGGAGTGGTAGAGTACAGAGTGGGTTTTTTAGCGTCCCATAATATTCTTCAAAATGAAAACACCTCTTGAAGAGGATCTAGAAGGAAGTAGAAAGGGCAGAAGTAGTGTTGGTGGAGATTATTTTAAAATATGGGAATTTGAGTCATGTTTATGGGCTTACGTAGCCACCTTCTGTAAAATGGCTCCTTCCTGAGTAGGAGTCTTTAAGTCAAGCACTCTCTTTTTGGTCTGACCTTCCATTAAAGTTGTATTTGTTCCTCTTAAGTAAAAGCATCATTTCCTGTACTAATGCATCTACATTCCTGTTAGCCTTACAAGGGGCAGAAAGCATTGCAGTTTGCCCTCAGGGTTTTTATAGCCCTTGGTTGCATTTTAAGATTTAATATTTGTATTCCTGTGCAGATGTGCAACTCTCTTCAATTATCTTTTTTACTGTTTTATTTATGTACTGCTATTTGCTGGGCTGGAATAATCAGCTCAAGTTATATTTTCCTGAAGTTTTTTAAGAAGTGAGCTCTAGTGATAGATGCAAATGTACATCTCTTTCCAAGTTGTATTTGCTGAAAATGTCTTAATCTGGTAAAACACCATCTAGGGAAGGTAGAGCAAATCTGAAATATGCTGGAAGTGAAGAAGAGCTTTGTGCTGAATCACTGTATAATAAATGTATTTGAGTACTTCTAGTCTAAGCCAAAACAGCCTCTTACCTTCCAGGAGGCTGTTAAGGCAGTCAAGATTCTGTCTAGATTTTTAAAGTTAAATTATACATTGTACATTCAACTCATCTGCCCATAAAATGACTCCACTGTGCAGGTTCTCAACCTTCATTTCCTTCTACGAAAGTGAATAACTGTATCCTGGGACTGCACCCTGGTATTTTTAAAAATTCTTTTTGTATAAATGCAGTACATCTGCATCTGCCCACAAAATTATCACTTTAGAAGTGGAATCTTTTGGAATCTTGAGGGAATTAAATTGAAAAAAATTACTGTTTGAAGGGTTCTGTGGTAGTCCTGGTCCCACAGATACATGTTTCCATGTAATCCTGCACCGATGTAACATTTTGTATACCTATAGGTATATAGGTGTATGGTATGACCTTACAATAAGGCTTAAAAGGGAGAGTGCAGACAGCTTAGCCTTAACTACCTTTATCCCCTTGTCAGCTGTGGATCTACATTATAGGAAGATCATGGGATGTTACTTTGCATTATGGGCTATTTATAATTCTAACTCCACTATAAAATGCAAATGCTGGGCTGTGGGATATAATAACAGGATATGTATTCAGGAGAAGGATTACCACAGGAGAAAGAGTTGATTGTTAAGAAAATTATATTGTTAAGTCAGTTCTATAATATTTTTACATAAACTAACTACTTTTATCTTTGTGGTTTTTGTGTTTTGGGCAGATCTATGTAGTGAGAGTTTTGAGAGAAGGGCAAGTTGAGCCAACATTTGTCTTCCGAACATTTGATGAGTTCCAGGAGCTCCACAACAAACTTGGCATTCTCTTTCCTCTTTGGAAGTTACCAGGGTATGTTCCTAACTCACTCATCACTATTATAAAGGCAACAAAACTGCTCCCAGCTGGGTGGAGGAAGAAATTGCTTGAAATGGAGACAAAACTGCTGAGGGGCAAATTAAGACCTCAGAGTTGGCCAATTAAGGGAGAAAACAGTTGTCTCCAAGTTTTAAGGAGAAGAGCCAGAGAAGTATCTCAGTGTTTTGGGTCTGTGTGTCATATCACATATAACAATTGCCTATAAACATTTCCTTGCCTTTCTGTAGTGTCATAACCTGTTGGCATGCTGTGTTCCCACTCCTGATTGGCAGAAAATAAAATGGATGTCAGCATTTCAGGATGGAAACAACAATGAAATCAAACTGTACTTGCTTCTGATAAATTACTGAAAACCCAATTTCGCTCTTCTCTTGTAGCTTTCCTAATAAGATGGTTCTGGGAAGAACACATATAAAAGATGTAGCAGCTAAAAGAAAAGTGGAGCTCAACAGCTACATACAGAGCCTGATGAACAGCTCTTCAGAGGTGGCAGAAGTGAGTAGAAATAATTGAAATGAAATGCAAGTTTTCAGGTTTTGATGCTTTTTAACACTTAAACTAATATGTAACATTTCTTCCAAATTTAGTGTGATCTTGTTTATACTTTTTTCCATCCATTACTTCGTGATGACAAAGTGGAAGGAATAGATGGAATAGCCAGACCTACAGGTAGGTAACGTTTGGGCGGGGGCTGGTTTATAAATTGTATAACACCGTTACAATGTGAATGTTTTTAATCTGGTTTAGATAACTATAGTTTTCCCTCACTAGAAAATGCATCACTGTCTGTCCAACTGTGCCTGCATACAGTTTCAAGGAAATACATACCAAAAATTGCAACAATATATGTGATCACTTGGAGTTGTTTATGGCTTGACTAAATTATTCAGGTTTTCATTCTGAACCTTGAGGCTAGTTCTTGCAAGAGAATGCAAAAAATCTTTAAAGCCTATAGCCTTTCCCGTATTAGGGAACTAGAAATAAAGTCAGAAACAGAGCTTGGTGTAAGGCTTATATTTTTTCCCCTATGAGTGGAAATTGAGTGTAGCACTGATGAAAAACATACAAATATTACAGAAGAAATAATTGTCTTATTTTTTCAGACACAAGTCCATCAAGTCCTACCTCAGGCAAAGTGGGAGGAGAAGTGAAGCTGTCCATATCCTACAGAAATAGCACTCTATTTATCATGGTGATGCACATCAAAGACCTGGTAAGTACAGATGCTGCACTCGCTGCCAAAAACTGGTTCCATTTGTCAATTACCATCTTGACTTAGTTCCACCATTCCTGCATCAGTCTTTCTCTCTCCCTCCAAATTTTCCAAGTGCCAGCTTGATTAATTGCTGCTTTTGATTAGCTTGATTGGAAAGTCTTGATTGAAAATAAATATGCAATTAGTTATGCACTAATTAGTTTTCTAACTTGTCTTGTTTATTTGACTGTAGGTTACAGAAGATGGTGCAGATCCAAATCCCTATGTAAAAACATACTTACTTCCAGACACGCACAAAACATCCAAACGCAAAACCAAAATCTCCCGGAAGACAAGAAACCCAACTTTCAATGAAATGGTAAGTTAAAATGTATGTAGTAACTCCCTATGGTTTGCTATTATCTCTTATTCTAAGCAGTAATTAAATATTGTCTAAAAAAAAAAATCTGTGAAGATAGAGAAATGGAAAAGAAAAAGGAACTGTTTTGAAAAACTTTGTGCCCTGTTTAAAAATAAAACAAAGCAACTGAGTAGGTCAGTGTGCTGTGACAAGTAGGTAGAAATTTCTCAGTCTGACTGAGGAGAGATGGGGAGAAGGAAAGGAATCTTAAAACTAAAGACCTCCCCTGCCCTGGATTCACTGACTCATGATGTGGAGAAAAATAAATTCAGAAGTCTTGGCATGTAAACTCTACTTCAGTCAAAATACACTAGTCCTTCTAAACACTTAACACTGGGAGCACAAAATAAAATAGGGATGTATTTCAGCCCATTCTCTGAGAAACAGATGTACTGAATGGTCATAATGTGCAGTTAAGACACCTGTCAGTGGCTGGCAGTCAGAAAAAAGGGCAATCTGTGTAATATATAACCAAAAAATTCTTGACTTGTTACCTTCTAGCTCGTGTACAGTGGATATAGCATGGAGACTCTGAAACAGAGAGAACTTCAGTTAAGCGTGCTCAGTGCAGAATCGTTACGTGAGAACTTTTTCTTGGGTGGAATTACACTCCCACTAAAAGACTTCAACTTGAGCAAGGAGACTGTTAACTGGTATCGACTAACTGCTGTACCCTATCTGTGAACTCATTTCTACACCTGAGTAAGGCCAGAACAATTGTATTCACTTGTGCTTTGTGCATCTTCCTACTTGAAGATAACTTGTACATCTTAAATTTCAAGACTCTCCATTTCAACAGACACGTTGGACCAATGTTCATGTAGCCTAATCTGGAGGACTTCTAGAAAACCTGGTTTATGCTCATGTGATGTTACCAAGGCATCATTTTAAATGTTTAAGAGCTGTGGGTAAAGGAAGGGGTTTTTAAACCATCCATGAAAGCGAGATGAACAGTTTGACCATGCTGGTTGGTTGAACCGTAACTTAATCTTTAGGCCTGTGGATATAGTGCATTTTTGCTTTTAATTTGTTACTGCTGTTGTGTCATCCATGGCGTGATGCTGGAGAACATCAAAGAAATTGCATATTTTAGGATTACATCCCCACTACTAACTAGGTATCACAGAAGCAGCGATAGGTGGCTTCACACAGACCTGTAGAAATGAAGGTTGAAGGGCTGGAAAAATTCCTTAGCATTGCATATAATCCCAGATTCATGCTTCTCTAAGATTTATTGGAGTGAGTGCCAATAATGGAAGTTGTAAATAATGGTGCCTTATAATTCAAATGCTTCTCTTTTACCTCATTTCTGGTATTTAAATATGTATACATATTAACTTTCAGCTCCTTATAAAGGGGTAACATTCTCATATTTGATACCTTGCAGGTCCTACTGGAAATCTTTTCCTAAAATGTGTTATTTACTTCATAAATAGTTCAACTTAGATACATTTTTTTCTGCCCATGATCTCCAGAAATTGAATGAAGACTGGCTGAATGTGGTACCGTAGGAAATGTGCCCAGCTTCTCAGTGGGTTTTTTGTTGTAATTCCCAGAACTTTTAAATACTGCAGTGATTAAGTGTGAAACACATTTAAACACTAACCTGAAGTGGCATTTGCACCTTTACCTCCTGGTAAAGGATGGCCTCTAGTTGAAAAGCACCGCTGCTGGATGAATTGCAGGCCAGAAATGAGTTGTGTTAAGTGAGCTTTGAGAGAGGAACTGGACTGCTTTTTTTTCTTTAACAGTTCTCAGCAATACTGTTTTTCACTCCCAGTAAGAACTACTTCCATTAAAATACTTCATTCCAAGAAGCATTAGATTTGAACTATGCTGTGACAGCGGAGTGCAAATGTCACTATCTCCTGTTAATACCACTGGTTACTTAATAGGTGTTTCTGCACTACAGGTGTCGCCTTTTTATTCACCTTATTCGGGGTTTAGGTTGTTCATGTTCTGTCTAAACAAAGCTATAAAGTTGCAACATTTTTCTTTAGTACAAAATCTTGAAGCGAACTTTGAAAGTGAAATATGCAACTATGAACAAAGACACAATATGGGGAAAGCCTTCTATCTACCCGACACTAAAAACCTCTTTTATAATCCGAATTTCCTTCCCCTACTACTGACCAATCTCCCTTCAATACGGAAGAGAGAAGTAAACTTGAATCTCCTGGTGCCTAAACTATTCACGGTCCAATTTCGTAGTAATTATTACAATTAAAAAGCTAATGCTATCTTGAATGTTAGAAACTGGGCCAATACTAATGGGCGCTTACAAATCCCAGTTGTAGTAGGCATCTTCTGCATATTTTTCATTTAGTATTTAGCCTGTAAATAATAAACTATATAACTAACTAGATATATTTCCTGCTCACTTGATGCTTTTGAGACTTACTCCATTCCATCATTAGAATCACAAGTCACTTCAAACACAGGAAAGTAGACTACTGTTTTTGTGAAACGTTCCATTGTGAAATAAAATGAAAGCAATATGGACTGCCTTTTTTGCAGTTTGCTATTAAAGCACAGTGTCTTACAGCACAAAATACAATTAAACTAAAATCATTTATAAAATGATTTGCAGTTTTAACAGTTGTCTGGACTGAAAAAAAAAGTGTAGTACTGTATTATTGTTAGCACATGTCCTGACTTCTGATTTAATCTTCTTCATAGCTTAACTCATTTTGTGCCTTTCCCTTCCTTTTCAAAATAGTCACTGGCTGGAGCTTTCTATGGTCATGGATTTTATGTTGTCTATGGGATCTAGCCTTGGCCTCTCCTCATGTGTGGAGGACCAGCACCAAGCTTGCACCTCTTTGCACTATTCTCAATTAAGAAAAAAATCTGATTGTTGCAATAAGAATTTACCGTGCTACATACAAAACCCAAGATGGATGTGAAAGAGGGAAATATTTGATTGGGATGGAATTTACCAGTATACTAAGTAGCTTGAGAAATGTAGTTTTAACAGCTTTTTGTATCTTGTTACATGAAAAGAAAAAAAAAAATCTTTTATGCACCGTTTGACCTGCAGCCAGAAGTGTAATTGTCCGTACAGACCTTGTGTTGGTATCCGAGAGCAGCAGCTTGCGCTAGGACCTCCTTCCTTTACTAACCTACAACTTTGCACTGAACTTTTTATTACTGCCTTTGTACGACCTTACAGCTGCCTGTCTCCGGACGCATGTGCGATCTCTGGTAAACGCTCTTTTCTCTATTTTTACAAGTGTTAGGGTTGTGTAGAGACCCCCGTCGCCTGCCTTAACGCCGGGGCTCCCCGGGGCGCGCCGTGTCCCCCCTTCCCGAGCGCTGCTCGCCGGGAGCCCGTCCCTGCGGCGGTGCCGGGGGTCAGGGGGGGCAGCGAGAGCGGGCGGGGCGCCGCCCTCCGTCTGTGTATCTCTAAGAACCAAATACTTTTAACTAAGCGGTAATAAAGATGTACAATGTCGCCGCCGCGCCGTGCGGCGGGTTCAATGTGACTCCGTAACTCTCCTGTAAGTACATTAAACACTATTCTGGAATAAAACCCAGCGCGTGTCCTGCTCTGTGAGGGCGGGGCTGGAGGAGGGGAGAGGGTGAGGAAGGGGCGGGGCGAGCCTCTGATTGGCTGCCGCGCGGGGGGGCGGGGCAGGCGCGGGCCCGACGTTTCCTGCGGAAGCGCGCGCGGAGGGCTCCTTTCTCTCTCCGCCGCATCATGGGTCGCATGCACGCTCGGGGTGAGCGCGGGATCGGGCTGGAGCCGCGGGATAGGGGCGGATCGGGGCTCCTCAGGGGGTCGACGGGCTCTGCGGACCGCGGCGGGAGCGGGAAGGCTGCTGCGGGAGCGGCGCGGCGCGTGTGGGGCTGGCGGGGAGGCGCGCGGCCGCGGGAGATGGCGGCGGGGTGGGGAAGGCTCGGGCCGCGGCCCGGGGTCCCGGAGCTCCAGCGCGGCCCGCTCCGCTGAGCATCTCATCTGCTTCTTCCCACAGAAAGGGCCTGTCCCAGTCGGCCTTGCCCTACAGGCGCAGTGTGCCCACGGTGAGTTCCTTCCCCGGCATCTTTTCCGGGCCTCACAGCGCAGCTCAGGAGTGCCCACGGAGGGAAACGAAACGAGAGAGCTGTAATTTGTGTCATCGCTTTTAAATTACGGCCTAGTAAAAGGCTGCCTTCGCCTATGATGAATCGGGTTGTCCAGGGAGGTTCTGGAGGCTCCTTGGAGACACTCAACCACCTGGACGCGTTCCTGTGATCCTGCATTGGCATGTGCTGGCCTAGATGATGCCCAAGAGTCTCGTCCGTCCCTGTAAATTCTGTGGTTCTGTGACGATTCTTACGGTGCTGGAGAAGCAAGTGTCCTGTCCTGGCCAGACGATTCATTAGGCAAAAAAAAGTTTCTTTTCCACTTTGTGTGTTCTTTTACTTAAGTGCTGCTTCAGTTACTAAAGAGAGTCTATATACTAGTAATTCCTTGAGATTAAATTACTCTTCACACTCGAGTTTGGCCTTCTCTGTTGTGGAATAAACCGCTTACTCTCAAAAATATTTACAGCCAGTTTGTTGGTCAGGGGAGTAAAGTAAATAATTTTGGTGCACCCTTAGTTCTTTCAGGTTACTTGTACTTAAAAAAGGGCTTTCTCTGTCCTTTGGTTGCAAGACCATTTCTTGGAGGATCTGTTTTGTTGACAGAAAGAACAATTTGTGGTGCATGTGGAAAAGCATGGACTGGAAAACAGTGAAATGAGAACATAATTTCATATTTTGTGCTTTGATTTTAAGTAGATACAATTTGAAGTAAAATAATATGAAGCTACTCGAACTACTGCTGACAGTTAAACGTTTTGATAACAGTCAGAATGATCAAATGTTGTATTTGCTTTAAAAAATTGTGTGGGTTTTTTTGCTCAGTTTTATTTATATTCTGTTTTAAATTGTAATCTTCGGAGCACTTCCAAATTTATTTTTGCTGTGCTTTTCAGTTTCATACTGTGACAGTATTAAAAAGGAAAAAAAAATCAGGAGCTTCTGTAGCTGACTGAAAGTGAGGATTACCTAGCTTGTTGGTATTGTCTTCCCCTTAATAACTGTAGAAGCAGTGGCTTTATCAGCACAGTTTAACATAGAACTGTGCCTTTTCTATTAATTCTATCTCAGTCGATCCATTTGTTTCTTTTTTTTAAATTAATTAATGTTCTTAAAGTCTGATTTTTCAGTAATCTCTGTAGGTGGTTTACTAAGAGGTGGCTAAATGGGTCTCAATTTCGTATTTTTGTCAAAAGGCCTAGTTTAAGAATTCCTTCCCAATGGCAGTGATTATTTTTTTTTGTCTGTAACTTTGTATTTCTGCTTCTGGTTGGCAATTGAAGTGAACTGATGGTAAAGCAGTTGGTTTTTACAATGGAGGTTCTCATGTTTTATCTCTGCCTTCCCTCACCACATTTCACCAGCACTATAGGTATATTGTGTGCCAAAAAAAATCTATATTGTTAAAAGTACAATTTCAGTTCTTGATTGTTTTTCAAGCACTACAAAGCATCTATTTCTACCATTCATAAAAAGCTTTCATGTAGCTAACCTGTGCCCTCTGTATTAAGCAGTGTTAATCAGTTTGGGGGTTTTTTTTTCTCATTTTCTTTAGTGGCTGAAACTCACTTCTGATGATGTAAAGGAACAGATCTACAAGCTGGCTAAAAAGGGCCTGACTCCGTCCCAGATTGGTAAGGATTATAAACCACTCCTGAATGGGGACAAAGCCACATTTTTCTGACTGTAATAATGTAATTGTTCCTTCAACCTGTGTTAAATAACATGCTAAGAAAACACTGCATATCTGGTGTATGTGTGTGTGTTCACTGTGGATAGCACTAAGAGCCATAAAGTAATATCCTGAGTTGGAAGGGACCGATGAGGATCTCGATGTAACGTTGTGTGTTATAGGGAAGTTTGGTTTGCCCAGTTTCCTGGAGGAAGTTTTCAAATATCGGCAGCCCTTGTGCTCAGGGTTTACTGAGCAAGGCACTGTAGCTGCATCATAGACCAGTTCTCAGTGGTTTGGACCCTTCTAGAGCTGGTGTTTGCATGACAGCTTTATGTGATCATGAGCTGTGTATGCAGTGTATGTGTAATTGGGTGCTGTGTAAATGAATTCTTTTATTATTGTAATCCTGAAAGTGATAATAATTCCTCTTAGAATAATAATTCATAGAGTGATTGAATACATTCCTTTAATGAGCCCTGTTGAAAATTTTCCAATAGTACTGTAGCACTTCATGTACTACCTGTGTAAGAGTAGTGGGTGTGTTAGTTGTGTTTTAGATTTATCATAAAGTGTTTCAGCATTTGTAAGTTGTATTTTGCTCACTTCAGTGTCCACTAGAAAGGTTTTTAACTTGCAGAAGACTTTTTTTGGATAGCTTGTAACTGTAAGGTTGGTTTCACAAGATTTTTTGGTGTGTGGTTTTTCTTTCCAGTGTAAGATGTGAATGTTTTTTCCAGGTGTGATCCTGAGGGATTCCCATGGTGTTGCCCAGGTTCGCTTTGTTACTGGCAACAAGATTCTGAGAATCCTTAAATCAAAGGGACTGGCCCCAGACCTTCCAGAGGATCTTTATCACTTGATCAAGAAAGCTGTTGCTGTTCGCAAACATCTTGAGAGAAATAGAAAGGTGTGTGCTCATTGGATAACTCAGTGTTTGTGTTTTTAAATTACACAGTAGTTTATGTACAGCTTGACAAAGAAGCTTTGTGTACTTCCTGTTAGCCCCGCTTTGAGTAAACTTATGGAGTTGGGGAGGCATTTTGGTCAAGGAGGATGGTCTTTGTCTGTGAAAAGGATTTTAAAAGCAGCATTTAAACCACATATTTCTGGTCCTCTTCTGACTTTACGGGATTCATCAGGCTTTGGTAATGGGAATGTGGAGTTTGTAGCAGTAGCTGTGGATTTTTTATTTTGTTGAAGCACGTCTGAATAGTACATTGAGAAATTAAAGTAGTGCTTTGTTATAATGTAACTTTCTTTTCAAGGATAAAGATGCCAAGTTCCGCCTGATTCTGATTGAGAGCAGGATCCATAGGTTGGCTCGCTACTACAAAACTAAGAGAGTGCTGCCACCCAACTGGAAGTAGTAAGTCTTTTGCATTCCTATTGTCACTGAAGACTCAAAGGTTTTGTAAACTGCTGGGGCTATTACTCAAAGTGTTATGATCAGGTGTGTAGATAACCGAGGCAGCAAAGAACCGGTATTTTTATAAATATTAACTGCTGGGTAAAATGACCATTGTAACATTTAGAAACACTTAGTGACCTCGTTTGTTGAGACAATGATTTTTTTTTCTATGGACTAGATAATTTTTATAAGAATACAAACTGCAGTCTTTGTTCTCGCTCGAGATACTTTTGTAGTTCATGTTACTTTCAAAAAATTTTGAGAAATGGCTTAGTAGGTATGGCAAAAATGAAAGTCATTTATAGTTTTTCTCTTGAAAGGCAGCCACCACAGGATTAGCCTTGCTTTTTCTAAGAAGACTCAAGTGCAGCTATCCAGGTTCTTGAATATATGGTTTTGTGCTGTGTTCCTAGTATTTATATTTTAAAAGGAAGAGTGAAATCTTACACCATAAGAAATTTTAAACAGGCAGTGATTTAGCTCAAGGCTGGTAGTTAAAGCTTTGAACTGTGTGACAACTAGTTTGAAAACCTGCCTCTGCAATTGATATTTCTCTCTTTTCTCTCTTCTCTCTTTTTAGTGAATCATCGACAGCTTCTGCCCTGGTCGCATAAGATCTGGCTGTGACTTAATGAAAGAATAAATTTTCTTTATCTGAATTTGTGTTGTCTCTAAATGATCGGTGCCTTAGAAGCTTCTGCTTGTTTCAGGAAGCTGCTTGTAAGTGGGAAGTTTTCCAGGTGGAGCAGGCGTGCAGCCATGGTACTGAGTCATTCCCTGCTGATGCATTTTATTCATATCAGGCTCTGCCTCTGTGTCCTGCAGGAGGAACTGGGGAAGAAAGCAGTAAGAGGAGGAAGACCTGGAAATTTAGAAATTGAAGAAGGGATTATGCAGGAGATGAGGAGTTAGTTAGAGAGATTTATTCATTAATTGCAGGTCATGTAGAGCTGTTGCTTGTGCAGAAAGCTTAAGCAGACCTCAACCAGTTCCTGATACTAACTGTTGCTGTTTGTAAGTAATTTTAAGAATAATCTTAGGAATTTGGACAGGTACAGACAACAGTTTAGCTCTCCCCAGTGTGTCCTTACTGAAGTAGTTTTCCCAAACCCAAAGGGCAGGAGCTGTTGTAACTGTTGCCAAGGTTATACCTCCGGGTTCTGATTACCTTTACCTTTCTGCTGGAGAAACGTGGAGAACAGACTGACAGCTTTTTCCTTTTCTAGGAGAAAATTATAAACGGAGTTACTCTGGGTAGTTGTGACTTGGATACTTAGTCTTGGTGTGTTACTTAACTTTTGCCATATTGCAAACTTAAGTGACTTCAAATAAGCCCTGTCATTTTTGCTAATTTCTAGATCATAACCAGTGGGACCTGGTAACTTCTGAATTTAATTTTGCAGAGAGACGGGAATCCTTTGCCAAATTACAAAGCTAAATATAGGCATGTGATTTTTTTAAAAAAGGATTTTAAAAGGGAAATACTTAATTCCGGTTTAACTAAAAATGCTACTGTCTCGTCCATCTTAAATTGCCATCCTCTTATCAGAAAAGCACAGGGACACTTTGCTCCTCGTTCCCGACTGCCTGTATGTAAGTAGGCAAAGCACCAGGAGGTGGCGCTTGGAAACAAGAGTTTCCTATTGCAAACAGCGCCACCGGGCGGTCACATGCTGAGGCCGCTGGCCCGAGCCCGGGAACAGGTGAAGGATTTAAAATGTGACGGCTGATCCAGTGGCCTTGGGCATGTTGGAGCTCACACAGTTCTTGTATTTCGTGCCACTGGGGTGTCTCGGTCTGAACACATTCTGTACTGTCTTCCTGGCACTGGTTTGCTGCAGGCAGGCTGTGCTCACGTGGCATTTCACCCATCCAGAGGTGCTGAAAGCTGCTGACTTGGAGGGGAGAAGAGGGAAGGGTAGGGGTTGTTACAGTGATGGGATCTGCCTCACAGGGGTGCAGGGGAGGAGTACCACCATGTCAATAATTGCCTTGTGCTGTACTGTCAGGAATGAAAACACATCCTGGGCTTGCAGTAAGATCAGATCCAGGTGTTGAAGGTACTCTTGAGGATGGAGGAGAGGTACCCCTTATCTCTTATAGAGGAATGGTAATGGTATTGTGATTGTACTGTTACACACATGAAGTCCTGCTGCTTGTCTTGCTGAAGATTCTGTATTTCCTGGAAACATACAGACTGGCTTAGGTACGTTGTCTGTTTTCAGTAGGATTAATCACAAAACCATAGAATGGCCTGGGTTGGAAGGGACCTTAAAGATCATCTAGTTCCAACCCCCCTGCTCTAGTTGGGGACACCTTTCACTGGTTGCTCAGACCTCCCTCCAACCTCCACTTCCAGGGATGGGGGATCCACAACTTCTCTGGGTAACCTGTGCCAGTGCCTCACCATGCTTACAGTAAAGAATCTCTTTCAGTTTGAAGCTGTTTCTCCTGTCACTACACGCCCTTGTGGAAAGTCCCTCTCCAGCTTTCTTTCAGGCTTCCTTAAGGTACTGGAAAGATGCAATTAGGTCACCCTGAAGCCTTCTCTTTTCCAAGCTGAACAATCCCAATTCTCTCAGCCTTTCCTCACAGGAGAGGTGTTTCATCCCTCTAATGAACTTAGTGGCCCCCTCTGGACCTGCTCCAAAAGGTCAATGTCCTTCCTGTGCTGGTGACTCCAGAGCTGAGTGCAGCAGTCCAGGTGGGGTCTCACCAGAGCAGAGGAGCAGAATCCCCTCCCTCGCCCTGCTGGCCATGCTGCTCTGGATGCAGCCCAGTGATTGTCCTTTACCCCTCGGGTTGCCAGAACAGGAACACCAGGAGTCTAACCCTTGCCCCAGGGCACACAGGTTGTCTGTTCAGCAGCTGCTGTGCCCCAGGGCAGTGGGTGCCTGGCAGCTGTAGGAACAGTGGAGCCAAGCGCTGACCCTGGGGAGCAGAACCCTGCAACACATGATACTGAACAACACATCAGGGGAATGTGGTCCTACAGCTCGTCTGGAGAGGAGGGTGGGACCAGGAGGAACATGGTCATGTGGAAGCATCAGCATTTGGGGCTGTGGTACTGGACTGTGCCTGGGTGAGGGTGAAACTTTCAGGTAGTCTCTTAAGGCTTCTGTCATGTTAGCTGAGCACCAGGATTGCCCCAACAGCTCAGGACTTGTGATCCAGCTGCCCAGGAGAGTTAGTCGAGTCTGTCCTGCTGCTCTACATAAAAGTACTGTAATTTCCTTTGTCTGGAGAGATATGATGATGGGAATAAATCCAAATCTGCAAATAGTTGCCCCAAATGAATTCTTTTTAAAGACCAGCACAAAACTGTCCCTGCCCCATGGTTATGTCCAGGCACCACACTGGCTTCCCTTTCCACAGCAGCCTGGGTTGTTCTCAGGCTTTGGGCCCCACTGCCCTCTTGCTTTCTATTGTCATGATGTCACATCTCTTTATGGCTTCTTTTGCCTTGATTTAGTCTTCAGAAGGTGTGTTGCTGTTCTACTTCATTCCCAGCAGCCTTTTCTGAATTTCCAGTGTTGCTTTTCCCTCCTGCAGCACTTTTTGCTCTCCCAGCAGGTACAAATCTGAACAGTGATTATTTTTTTTCCGTATTCCAGTGTGAGCTTTTTCCTGTGTTGTGCCAAGGCACACCTCAAAAAGGAGCTCCCAGCCTCTGCCACTTCCAGCTCTCTTGGTCCCTCTGGCACAGTGAAGCCTGCTTTTCCTTCTCCAGGGAGGTGCAGCCACAGGGCTGTGCTTTGACAGCAAGGTATGGTAAACAGGACCCCTCAGCAGCCACATGGCCACGCTGTGCTCTGCAGGTTTGGTTCACAAAAGCCTTCCACTAGACCTCAGTCCTTGCCAGCTCTGCAGCTCTTCCAGGGTGTATGGCAGAGGCTGCTTCCCTTTGGCTCATCGAGAGCTGGGTTTGAAGGCTGGCTGCAGTGGCACCCTTTCCTCTGGTAGAGCCCTCCATGGTTGCCTGCAGTTTCCCAAGAAGGTTTGTTCTAGGGTTTTAGGAAGAACAGTGATGGTTCTTGCAGTCACTTCTGGATTGCTGAGGGTGGTAAGAAATGGTCTCCTTAGGTCTGAAGAATTGAGTTCTCTGATGGATGTCGAACAGGGAGATGGAACGTGGGCATTCTTCAGGTTCGAGGTTGTTTTTTCCACATAGATTTTTCTAATCCATTTTTTCATGGATTAGAAAAATTGATTTTTTAATAATCAATTTTTCTAATTCCAGGCAGTCCTTTCTAATCCATGCTTTTTCTTGGGAGTATGAAGGTCCTCCCTCTCTTGCCTTTCTTGGGCCTTCTCCCTTCCTTCCCCCAGGTTTCTGTGTACTGCTTGCCTTGACACTTCTGGATGTGTGTCCAAGCTCTTGTTAAGGAATTTACCCCCTTTTTTGCAAATGAGTCAAGCCAATTTTTTTCCATTCCTTTAGGTGACCTGAGTTTAGCCCACCCTGATTTGGGTCAGCTAAGGCAGCATTCAAATGTATGAACACAACGTAATGTTTTCTTCACTTGTGCAGTTCAACCTGGAATGGTAAGTCCAGAAAGGTTAAGTCTTTGGTTAAATCAGTAAATGCCATGTGCAGTTTCTACCTTTGTTTCTAGGAAAGCATTTGAAAGGTGACTGTTAAGTACGAAAAGGATTAACCTTTACAGGGATGTAAGGGAAAGCTTTGATTCAGTCATGGCCAGAGGACTCTCTGAGTGCTAGGTATCTGTTCGTTCTGAAGGATTTGGTGATGTGCAACTGGTTCCCTTGTGGAGGCAAATAAACCATTTTTTACCTCTGCCTCTCTGAAAATTAAAAAATCCTTAGTAATTTATTTCAAGTATGGAAACTTAAACAACAGTTATTCTGCTGCCACGTCATTACTACTGCTGGAAGCCATGAATTTCTTTAGCTGAAAAGGGGCAAAAAAAGTAAACCAAGCTATAGTAATAACAATCAGAAAAGGCAAGAAATTATTTGGATTTATAAATATAAAGCTGTAAATGTAGACTGCCTTGCTTTTTCTGGAAAACAGCTTCTAAAGTGTGTTTTCAGTTGCATTTTCTGCCAGTGAGCAGTGAGCTTTTTAGTTTTCAGCTCAAAATCTTTGCTTGCAAGTTAATACCAAATAGCAAAATGTGAATGAAATGTGCACTCTGATTTTTTTCTGAGCGATGGTTTGCGCGTCACTTTCTTCCGCTGTTTTCAGTGTCACTTACAGATGATGAAAAACAATGTAGTTAAAAAGCACCTCACGTGTTTCTCCAGACTCAAGGACCAGTTTCTTTACCCATTCCCATTTAAATAAAGAGCAGGAGGGCCTATGGAATTCTCCGAAGGCAGGTTTGGTACTCCCCGAGCTCTGGGATAGCTGGTGATTCTGGCTTAGGCTAATGCTGCTTCACGTTCATGGAGTTGTTTTGTTTCCTTTTCAATGCTGGGATCAAACTAGTGAAAAAATGCGGCTGTTGCTGGGAAGTCCCTTCAATAACTCGGCACATTTGCATGACAATATGTCGCTGTGCCCTGGTAACCTCCCTCCCTCGCCAGCACATATCTTGGCAGCAGGAAATGGTTCCACAGTGTTTGCTGCACTAATGGGATGTCCGTGAATGTCCTTTTCTTGCTTCCAAGGATTTCTGGACATAGTTGCAGTTGG